CAGAAACGAAGGGGCAGCGATGCACCAGCCGAAGTCCTACACGGAATTTTTGTTGCAATATATTTTGTTGAGATTCTGAGAGGATTGGAAAAAGTGGAAACAGCCAAGCGAAATGAGGGAAGGTGAATGCGAAAAAACATTGCCGGAGAGCTTTACATGACATTTCGCGACCAGATTTCATCCATTTTAGTTTTCCTAGCGATTTCTGAATATTTCCTATCGCTTTTTCGATTGTTGGTTTCAACGATAGTTTATCCGTCCAGGTAAAACCTAGGTATTTGTATTCTCTAACTAGTTCGATTTTGTTTCCGTCTATCGTTACATTTACTATCGGTCTTTTTACTTGTGTATGAAAAAGTTGTACTACAGTTTTCGAAACATTTAACGGTTGTTTCCACTTTTTTGAATATATAAGAACCTGATTACAAATTCGTGTACCTTCTTTTTCTAAGTATTCAATCATCGGGTCTAAGTTTCTCATAATGGGAGGACTAATTAATACACAAAGATCATCTGCAAATAGATGACATGAATGAGCTCCCAGGTAATTTGTTAGATCTGAATGAAACACTATAAATAAGTATGGACTAAGACTACTGCCCTGTGGAAGTCCTATATGTATCTTAAATATTTTCGAAGTTATTTCACCATATTCTACGTAAGCTCTTCTATCTTTTAACCAACTATAAATCATTTTCAATAAGTTGAGAGGCATACCCAGTCTATCTAGTTTACACAGAAGAGCGGCATGCCATACACGATCATAAGCCTTTTGATAATCGACATAAAGCGCTAGTGTCGGAATATTGGCTGCCATGTTATTTTTGACTTCCTGATATATTGACAGAACGCGAGTAGGTAGAAGACATTTTGGACGGAACCCCGATTGTTCTACGGGTACTAAACGATTTGTTTCAGCCCAGTGTCTAATTCTTAGTAAGAGCACTTTTTCGAACAGCTTAGAATGTGTAGCTAACAAGGATATCGGACGAGTTTGTTCACACTTTGGGATACCCGATTTCAACTTATTTAATGTTATAATTTTAGCAATTTTCCAGTCATCTGGATAACGACACTCGTTTAACCATACATTAAAGCAATTTGCTAAGCACTCGATGTAACTTGGAGGAAGGTTTTTAATTATGAAGTTTGACACCAAATCAAAACCTGCTGACTTCTTTGGCTTTAACGTTTTGATTAATCGTGAGATTTCCAAAACACTAGTTTTTTCGACTTTATCTTTTGATACTAATAATTTATTTAGCAACTCTTTATATTCCATGTCTAACTGAGTTTCATGTACACTATAACAATCCAGAGCAGATGCTTTAAACTGTTCACTGTAATACTGATATAGTTCGTTTGTGATTTCTTGTTGAGTTGATATTATTTTAGAGCCATCCGAAAGTTTATAAAAAGGCAGCGTACGCGATTTGTGAATGCGAGATAAGTGTGTCCAAAACGCTTTATCTGATTTATCGTAAGACGTTTGAATGTTAACCAAAAAATTTTGCCATTGAGTATTTTTGTATTTAGCAACTTCAACTTTGGTCTCTCTCGTCATTGTACGTAATAGCACCCTCGCTTCCTCATTAAAAACTCCCTTATGTCTTAAATGATAATATCTATTTCTCACTTTTCGTATTTCTTTTAATTTTTCGATGATATATTTCGGTAATGATGGTTTATATTTATCTCTCTCTTTCCAATGAGTCACTCTATTTTTGACAGCCGCGATGAAACGAATATATTGTTTGTACCACTCATCAGCACTATTTTTCTTTTGTTCTCTCATCCAGAATGTTTGTAATAGCGTTATTACTGCTTCAAATGCCTTCCAATTTGTATGAGGAAAAAAACTGTTTATATCGAAAAAAATGTTCTCACACGATAATACAATCGGCCAATGATCGCTAGTGCCAAAAAACAATGTTTCGCTTGAAATAGTACTCATATTAGAGAACGACAAATCTATATTACGTAGAGAGCGCTTAGATGAGTTGGACGTTGATGGAATATAATTGAGATTATTTTCATTAATCCATTCTTTCACGTGCGCACCTCTTCTATCAGTTATTGGACTATTCCATTCCTTGACTGTTGCATTAAAGTCACCTGATAGTATGGTACCTTCTACGACATAAGGCAAGATATCATCAAGATCACGCTCTTGACTAGTGGGCCAGTAAATACCAATGATACGTACTGGTTCTGATAGACCTGTTATATCAATGACAACTGTGTTCGGAATGTTAACCTCGATGCGCGTCGCTTTCAGATGCTTCCCTACTGCTATACATACTCCTCCATTCTTGTTAGTTCCCTTTTGATAGAACGTGTTAAAATGTGGTAATCGGCTCATGTTCCATAACTCACCAACTTCAGTAAATATACCAATAGAAGCTTGAATTTGATACACTAAATCAATAGCTTCAAGCGCACGCGTACCCCAACCTTCGACATTATAACATAGGATCTTAATATGTTCTTTTTGGGTTTGTGAAGGAGCTATTCCAACATTTCCCCATTGTTCTAAGACTGTGTTCAAGGTTCTACCCGTGTACCATTCCTCTAAAAGAGATAATACTAATTTCTGATCTTTAGGTGCAAAATTCCAAGTTTTCAGCCGGTGCATAGCTTCATCTATAGGACTAAATGAATAATTCTCTGAAGCAGGAAAGAAAACTTTAGCGTGTACATTAAGATCTGACGTTCTACTTATCATTCTGTGAAGATTTGTGAACTGATGCAGAGTGTTGATCAATGTTAGTATTATGCACAAACAGTTCAACTTGCTGATTTAATTGATTTAATTGGAAACCATTTATTAATCTTGAGGACGCGACATGAAGACGCTTGTAGTATTCGCTCGTGACTTGTACCAACGATGATCTTTCAACTTTGCTAGCAGTTAACGATGCTGGTATAACATATTGCATGAAGTCTTTCATAATATTGATAGTATCTGCTAAGACTGCTTGATGTAGCTGAATATCAAGAGTAACGGTTTTTATACTTGATGATACTAGATCAACTTTATTTTCAAGCCGTTTGTTACTATCGATTAGCTTTGTCAGATTATCATTGATGGATTCAATTGTTTTATCAGTATATGATGCTCGTAAGTCATTCGACTCAACAGTTGTACGTGGTAGCGCAGTATTCCATTTTTTATTGGAATGATTATCACTTGCTGCTAATGGTGGAAAGTCTTGCTCTCGACGTTCAAATGTAGGTGCTTTCTCTTGCGGTGAGAATCGCTGTAATAGTCCTTTTTGTATGGCATCTTCGACATCTTCCTTTAATTGATCTTTATATTCTTTTAAAACTTGACATTGACTATCCAACGAATGATGATCTCCATCACATTGAGCACATTTCGGTACATTTTTACACATATGAGGAGTATTGATATTCAGACTTTCAAGACAAATACGACATTTGCTTTCTGAGCTGCATTTGTTCCTTAAATGACCAATACGCCAACATTTCGTGCAGTACGTTAAACGATTTCCCGGATAAAACTTGGTGATCGATAACCACGAATGACCTATTGCAATTCGCCCCAGTTGCAACACAGCATTATATTCACGATAATCTTTCACTTCGAATCGATAATCATCTGTTCTTCTTTGGTATGAATAATGAATACGTTTAATACGATCTGCAGAAGCAATTGTTCGCTGAATTTCATTTGAAACAAAATTTTCATCTAATTCCCTAGGTACATAACGGACGACGAGAGTGAATGAATCTGGTATATATTTTGGTTTCACGACCACAATATCAATTCCATTTATCTTTGTTGGCCATTTATCCGAACTGACGAGAGTAGCGTAATCTTCTTTATTATTAACACCTAACTTTAGCTTTTTTCCTGCCCATCCTACTAATGTAAATCTATTGATTAAAACACCATTGGTTTGCAGTTCTTTCAGTATAAGATCACTTGCATGAAGAGCTGTTGGAATACTATTACGATTCGCATCCGAGGTGAATTCAATAAAGAAACATGGTAAATTAGACGATACCGCGTGCTTCAGTTGATTAAAAGAAATTCGTTTACGATTCGTATTATCTTGATTTATCTCTTGATGTTGTCTTACATCTGACGACATCGAAGACGATGGTTGCTGTGTTTGTAAATTAATTTCTTGTTGTACATTATGTGAGTGCTTATGTGAATTATTGTCAATACCCCTTCGAGGATATTTACGGAGGCCTCTTCCGTTGCTGATCGAACCTCCGCTTTCATCTAGAGGATGACCGCGTTTCGGTGTTGAATTCACTGGTTGCATGAGTTGTTGTTGTTGCTGATTTGACTTTGAATAATTTTTCTGCAGGTACTTGTGTACATTTAAAGCTGCTTGCGGACACTCCGATAAAAATCTTGATATAAGTTCAACTTGAACATTTGATATAGAACCTTGTTCCAGTGTCTCATATTCCTTTCCAGACTGAAGATCCTCATTAGGATCAATATTAATTGCCTCTGCCATCAGTACTCTCGTATCGACTTAGAGAGGCAGATGCACAAAGAATGTAACGATAACAAAAAAGAAAAATGTGACTATACTTCACGAAGCAAAAAATGAGAATGTTCAAAGTCATTTCATGATTGGTAGTACCGAGGTTTGAACACGGTACCTTGTGGATACGTGTCAAACACGTAACTACTCAGCCATGGCGACCATAAAAGCTCATTATAATCATTGAATATAGATTATTGAAGTCAGTCTTGATCAACTTTCAGATGGACAAGAAGTTCTTGCTATTCTTTAACAAGAAAATTGTTCATTACATATCGGGCTTACATTTGCAGTAAGTTTTTTTATTTTTATTTTATAAATAAAATCAAAAAAAAAGTCGTTTAGTTGGGATATTATCGTCAAGATAAAGGAAAATATTTTCTTAAAATTCTTGAATCTGTCAGTAATGAAATCAATAATCAACGACGATAACAACAAATATCTGGCCAACACGCCTAAGAAACTGATGAAATGCGTTGTTTAGATACATTAGCTGCTTATTATGTTAAACGTAATCATCATGAAAAAGCTAAAGATAAAAAACGTGAATATTTTACTCCATCTACATTACTTTATATGCATGTAGATAAAATTCTTGTGTACGATCGTAATCATTTATTTCATCGAGCATATATTTGTTTGCTCGAAGATAAAATGGATCAAGCTGAACAACAAACTTCATTTCGTTCTTAATCAAGTCAATTAAAAAAAATATTTTGTTACTTAAAACAAAGAAGAGTTTTTTCTTATTAGATGCAAAATAATATTCCTGCATTACTTGGTCGAGCTTGTATTGAATTTAATAAAAAAGATTATCGACAAACACTAAATTTATAGAAACGTGCTTTAAAATATGCATCAGAAAATTCTGCTGATATTCGTGTTGGATTAGCCAATGCATTTGTTCAATTAAATAAACTTGAAAACACGGAGTAAGAAAATTAAAACTGAAAAAAAAACAATTCATTTAATTTTTCTTTCGTAAAGATTAGCATTTAATCGTACCATTGAAATTGATCCATAAATGTATTGAAGCATTAGTTAGTTTAGCGATGTTGGAATTAAATATGAAAACATCCGAATCAATTCGTAACGATATGTGATGAAACTTTCTTGAGCTTATCAATATGATCTACAAAATCCAATAGTTTTAAATCATTTAGCAAATCATTTTTTTTCTTTAGAAAAAGTTTGTCGTTGTTTGAAATTGAAATTTGTTGATTTGTTTTTTTTTTGTAAGAATTATACACATGTTCGTCAATTAGCAATGCATGCGTTGAATTATACAGAAAACGAAGCCATGCAAGCAGAAAGTTGTTATCATTTAGCGCAAGATTATCATGCTGAATGGAATTATGAAGAAGCATTTCGTTATTATTATCAAACAACACATTTAGCACTGGAAAAGTTTGTTTTACCATTATTTGATCTTGAATAAATTTATTTACAACTAGAACGATACAGCAAATGTTTGTTTGGAAAATTTTATTTAGACAAGTGATTGCTTTGAAAAAATTTTAAAAAATTCATTCAAATAATCATGAATTAATGAATATCTTAGCAAATATTTATGCAGAATCGAATGATCCTGATGAAAGAGATAAAGGAAAAGATTCTTTGAAAAAAGTTAAACAACATAATGCACATGATACTGATTCATGGATTCAATTAGCAGAAATTCTTGAAGGCGTCGATTTACAAGATATGGAGACGGTTTATTTATGTGTGAGAAATGTTTCATTGAAT